AGAAGGATCTGGGTACTGAAATGGCCAGCCTGCAGTCCATATCTTTCACCCATAGAAAACATTTGGCGCATCATAAAGAGGAAGATGCGATAAAGAAGACCTAAGACAGTTGAGCAACTAGAAGCTTGTATTAGACAAGAATGGGACAACATTCCTATTCCTAAACTTGAGCAACTTGTCTCCTCAGTCCCCAGACGTTTGCAGACTGTTATAAAAAGAAGAGGGGATGCCACACAGTGGTAAACATGGCCTTGTCCCAACTTTTTTGAGATGTGTTGATGCCATGAAATTTAAAATCAACTTATTTTTCCCTTAAAATGATACATTTTCTCAGTTTAAACATTTGATATGTCATCTATGTTGTATTCTGAATAAAATATTGAAATTTGAAACTTCCACATCATTGCATTCTGTTTTTTTTGTTTCACAATTTGTACGGTGTCCCAACTTTTTTGGAATCGGGTTTGTATATCCCATCATGCATCATGTTCTGGAAATAAATCGTGAGACTTTTTGCCGAGATCTCACGAGAGGTCACGGAAACATTTCCAATGTGAGTTAAATATTAATATAATTAGATATTACAAATAATTTGGTAGAAAAACTGTGTTTTTACTTTTATTGGTGCAAAGATGAGTTGTGATATTTATTTTGTACAACATTTGCAACTGCTTTTTATCATTTAATTAGAAGCACCACAAATTAAAATTATGTCATGTTATAGGGACTACTGGACAGACATTTAGAAGTTGATTTTAAGATGCAAAGTATGTCAAATTAAAATTAAAATAAAGCTGTGTGAACACTTGCATTTTTACAACACTATACTGTAAGTGTGTCCCATCAGGTAATGAAAAGTTCGACACACACTTGTGGTCTTCACATCCACTTGAAGACTTCGGCCAAATACAGGAAATACGTCATTTAAGTAATCAAGTGGTCAAGTGCAAAGACTGCAAGTGGGGGTATCTGGACAAAGCCCATGACTTCCTGTTTCACAGGACTATAAATATGAGGGAACACGAAGGCCAAATTCCTTTAATCATCCATCACAATGAGAAAAACCAAACAATATAGCTCTGATGTGCAGCAACAGATTGCTGACCTTCACAAAATATGAAGTCCAGAAGTAGCACAAAATAGGAAGTCGAAAAAATTTAAGAAAATGGCTAAAGCATTGAAAATTTCCCTTTCTACCAATAGGACAATACTTAAGGAGTTCCAGTCAACAGGAAATGTTACGTATCTGCCTACAGTATATTGTCTAATGTGTCTATATTGTCTTGATGCAGCGTGAAGAGGATAGTTTGAGTGGCCAAAGACTCTCCAAGGATCACAACTGGAGAATTGCAGAAAATAGTTGAGTCTTGGGGACAGAAAACCTCAAAAAAAAATTTTTTTTAATAAAATCAAACAGCACCTACATTACAAGTTGTTTGGGAGGGTTTCAAAAAAAATAAAAGCAGATTAATTTGCCACACACTACTGGATCTTCAATTGGGACTGGATTCTATGGTCAGATGAAACTAATAAATTAGTTTTTTAGCAGCAAACACTCAAGGTGGGTTTGTTGCACACAGGGATAAAAAGGTGTACAATGAAATATACTGTTGTATCTTTTATGTTTGGCCTATTTTTCTGCTGGAGGTTCTGGACATCTTTATGAGATATATGGCATCATGGATTCTAGCAAGTACCAACAGATACAAAAATCAAAACCTGATGTTCCCTGCTTGAAATATTATAATGGGCCTTGTTTGGATATTCATTCCATAAGGACAATGATCTAAAAAAACACTTCATCAAAATCAACACAAACATGGGCCACAAAATGCAGGTTCTGCCATGGCCATTCAAGTTCACTGACCTGAACCCTATAGAAAACTGAAAGGAGAGTGTATCAACATGCACTTGGAAAGCTGAAGGAGCTGGAGAGATTCTGTATGGAGGAGGGGTGTCTAATCTCTTGTCATATGTTCTTCAGCCTCATCAGGCATCTGATATCTATTATCTTGACAAGAGGTTGCAAAAAGTATAGAATAAAAGGTTGCCATTGATTGTGGCCAATGAGTATTAGAGAAAAACATTTATTTCAGAATGAGATTGATTAACAGTGCAGATTTATTTTATCACAGGCTTCTTTATTCATATTTACAAAGGGTGCTAATAATTTTGTAATTTTAACTGGAAAAACAACGTTAATTTGAATTTAAAACTTCCTCCTGGGGCGGGTTGCATAAACTGCTTAGACTAGTCTTAAAAAGTTAGTAATCTAATTTATTTTCTTCAAGACTGGTCATAACTTTTTAAAGTCAGTTACAAAAAGGTAGATTGGTCTAATGTGAGTCCAAAAAGTAAGACTGATTACCCCTTGACTAACTGCTAGTTGGCCTAACTAGTTGGTAAGACACAGTCTTAACAGTGTCTATGTTTATGCAACTGGCCCCTGGTTTAACTAATTTAAGCCTCAATTTAGTCCTGAAGAAGCTCTCGTCTTCCTCCAGCAAACTGGCCTATAAAACTCTGGACTAGACTAAGTGTAAGATGATTTAAAACCATGACAGAAAAAGCTGATTTCTGTTAATATGGTTTAAAGGGCCATTTTAGTCTAGGATTAGGCTTAATCTCTGTCTGGAAAACCACCCCTTTAGATACAAAGATCTTAAAGGTGCCGGAAAGCTAATGCATATGAATCGAGCAGTTTATTTGAAGTTTTCTGAAGAGATACGATCACTGTATATGATAAACAGATTTAATTTAACACTGAATTGAACATGAAACTTAAATGTGCTTGTCACACGCTAGAATAAACATTTGAGCTTCCATGCTTTCCATATTTGATGTACTCTCTGTATGTGTGGCGTCATTGTTTATGATTGTTAATGCAAGCCTAATTAAATGTCCATCATATAAAGTGATTGTATCTCTTCACAAGACTTGGATTAAAGCGCTTGATTAATTTTCAAAGTTTTGGTTGCGCAGACTTTCAGTGGAGGGACAGAAACCTCAGGTTTCATTAAAAATGTCTTCATTTGAGTTTTGAAGATGAATGGGTTTTAAACGACGTGTGGGCAAGTAGATGAAGACAGAATTCAATTTCATTTTCGGGTGAACTATCCCTTTAAGGTACATCTAGCCATGGTCCGCTACCACGAGGCTGGGCGTTTCTGTGAGAAGGATGCACCATGGGACCAGATTTCTGCAGTGTATCATTTGGAAAGAGCTGCCATGTGCGGAGAGCTTGAGGCTATAGTTGCCCTTGGCCAATGTTATCTTCAGCTGCCACATCACATTCTACCAGAGATCGAATTAGAGGTGCTTTCTTTTCCTAATTATCTTGTGGTTGGTGACACATTGTTTTATTTCTCTGCTTATGCTTCCCCTGTCGTGTCTCTTGTTGTTTTATCTCAGGCATCTGTGGAAAACAGCAAGAAGGGTTTCCGCTTTCTGCTGCAGGCCGCTGAGGCAGGAGACCGGCCGAGTATGATTCTAGTAGCACGAGCATTGGACAGGGGTTTGAACCTCCCTTCTGATAGGTGAGAAACGCATTGATAATTTTTTTGTCTTTTTGGCCCAAGATGTGTTTAGGGCTGAAACTTTTATTTTGGACTTTGAAAATGCAGGGCTATGGACTGGAAGCAGGCCGTGTACTGGTATGACTCTGCCCTTAAGATGACGGACTATGACGAGGGGGGAGAGTTTGATGGGATGCAGGATGAGCCACACTACCTTCTGTTGGCACGATTGGCTGAGATGTACCAGGAGGGAGGGTACAACCTGGATGCAGACCCCCAAAGAGCAGGTGAGTGTATCACATGCTCAAGGGGACCTATAGATAACAGAGACCTGTGGGTTACAGCATTACCAGTATGCCCCTCTACCCCAAATGAAAATATCACTAGGCTATTAGTCAATACATAGACATTTCAAGTAGTGCATATGTATGAATGAATTCAAATGACATAACTTTAGAAACTTCTCTTCATTGTTTTTGCATTCAGTAGATGACAGTAACTTGATCTAAAACCTTCAGATGACACATATTATATCCACGTCTGTGAGTTACCAAACCTGCATTCCGCAAAAAGTGGCTCTCTTGCACTTTATGACGTTTCAGAAAACTAGTTTTGCAATCCGGATCCATTCATACAACAGGGTGAAAATGCATTTGTGAGTCCTGAAAATGTACAGGAGTGAGTTCAGTCATAGAATGCATTTGTCAGTGCTGTAAACTCCCATATTTAAAAATAATAATTAAAAAAATAGTATTTGTCGTGCAGCCAGTAGGCCCTGCCCCAGTGTAGGCCCCTGGGCTTCGGCCCATGGAAGCCTGTGCATTAATGCTCTGCTGCTCATGCTATAAAACACAGTGGTTCTTCTGCAGAAACTCAGATTCAACATTTGAAGTTATTACAACAATACAGTTTTATTGAATCTTATTGATTTTATTGTATCTTCATTTTATTGAGTTTTAGTTACATATGTTTTAATGCTTAGGCTTCGTCTAGACTTTGTCTGCCCAGCACAAATCAACAAGTGTTCATATACCAAAGCAAAAGCTATGGAAAATCACTGCTTCACAACATAGAAATTCTCGTATCTCTTACTCGTGAAGACAAATATCCCTTGAAACCACTGAATCATAAGATTTAACAACAAAAGCAAGCATTGCAAAAGCAAAAAAAATTAGTAAAATAACTAGTATACAAAATTTAAAAAAATTAACATAGAATTAAATTTAATAATTAAATGATTATGATTAAATGAATATTAAATTGAAAAGCAACAACAACAGGTGTATGGTCGTTTTGTTGAAACAATGCACACAGGTCACTATTGGGGTCACTATCCTTAAGTAGTTTAAGAATATAATATATAATATAATATAGTGATGTGTGATTTATGATATCTTTTAAATTTTGTAGGTGATCTTTTTACTGAGGCGGCTGATGCAGCTATGGAGGCCATGAAGGGCAGACTGGCCAATCAGTACTACATGAAAGCAGAGGAAGCATGGGCTATGATGGAAGAATGAAAGTGCTGGTGTGGAAAAAAAGCATGAACATAGTTCCTATTTTGCACCCAGCGCCTGTTTACATGCCGTTTTCAATGCCTTATGTTTTCTTTGGGTCCCTTTGACTTAAGAGAACTAATGTTGATATTGGATCCGTTTTCTAATGAATGTGACAAGGGCATACGCTGATTCAGTGATATACTGAGGTGCTACGTACACATATTCTCCTGATTAATTTTTCATTAAGAATGGTTGCACAGTGTCTGCAACCTGTTTAGGTTGCTTCATGGGAATATGTGCATTATCTGTCAGTTATTTCTTTCTCCTGTTTCCAACTGGATGTTTCTTTAATAAACACGTTGTGACTGTTAAAAAATGGCATCCCTGATTGAACTTCTGTCAAATTAATTTGCTAGTATTGTTAGATCTGATGTCTAAGAATATTAAGCATCAATAGCTATTGCTGTGAGTTTTAACCTGTTTTCTGTTGACTGTCAAAAAACTTTCAGAATTCACTATAATCAAGGAGTGTAGAAGTGTGATCATTTTTCCTGGTTATTTTTCAAATGAGAGCAAGATTACAAACAAACAATAAAATCATAATGCTTGTTTAGCCAGAAATATGACCTGTTGTCTTTAAATTCATTCCAAGATGTCATTGCACATTAATTAATGCTAAGAAACAATAAATTATATCGGATGGAATTTCAGGCATGGCAAGGATGTCTCTAGTTTTACACTTGACAGTACAAAATAAACACAGTGTAGCGAATCAGCTCATGGGGAAATATGAATAATTAATCATAACTAGTTATAATTAATTATAAATATTTAGATCCGCTGTAGATATTTACTTGACCTCTCAGCTTTAAACTATTTAAAAAGATAGTACAGGAAAATAATCAGTGAAGCTGCTCTTATCACATAATTGTAATTTTTTAAATTCATTTTGACAAGACCCATCTGTTTAACAATAATGTGTTCAGCCAAACTAAAGTAATGTTTAAACAAAACCTTTTGTCTATTGATGTGTTGATAAGAATGGACAAGAGTGAATGATGCATTTTATACATGCCCATAAAAATGTATTAAATATGCATGTTTTGTGTATAATGAAAAAAAAAAGTTTTGAACAGCCAGTGGTTAATAATGTGTACTTGAGTGTGTAGTGCATGATATTGTTTGTCATGCTAACTTAGAAAAAATTATTGCAGTTTATTCTAGACATAAATTAACAAAAACAGGATGTTGTCTGCAAAAAGTCACCAGTGTAAGATGTTGTTTCCAGAATATTTGAATCTGTTGAATCTAATGTGGTGAACCTAGAAATGCCCAATAAGTGTGAGAGAAATTCATATATATTTGATATCTTACACCACATATATCATAATTTAATATTTCACATTCACCAAAAAGGCAAATGGGCATAGAAGAAGTTTTAATGTGAACTCTCCTGACCTCTTTAGGAAGCTGGACTGTGATATTCGGATTCAGCTGCCACAGGTGTCTAAAGAGCATTGTAAAATTGAGTTGAATGAGAACAAGGAGGTAATTATATTGTTGTTAAACTATAAGTTAAATTTTTTTTTCCTGAATAACGGTTTCTTGTGCAAATGAACGCATGACATGCTATTAATTTATTCTGACTTGTCTCTCGTTTAAGCTCATTTTGACCAATTTGAGCTCTGTGAACCCCACACGTATTAATGGACAAGTTTTTAATCAGTCGAAGCGTTTAAAGCAAGGTGATCTCATCACAATCATTGATCGTTCTTTCAGGTGAGTCAGATGTTTATTACTATTTTAATTCTGAAAAAAAAATCTTTCGGGGGGAATCCTTGTTTGCTAGAATAATTTGCTGTTTAATTTGTCAACATGTCAGGTTTGAGTACCCACCTCCTAAGACACCGAAGAAGAGGCTGTCCACACCTGGAAAAGACAAAGCAGTTCAAGTGTGTATTTGATGCGAGACAGTTGATTTTTTTTTTAATTAATTAATTTTTTTTTGATAAATTTTGGTTATTTTTTCCTGTAGGCTTTGCAAGAGCAGCAGGAAAAAGGCACACCTGTTCCTGTGGAAAAGAGAAAGTCAGAGCATTCGTTTGGTTAGTGATTGAGTGATTTTTATTCTCTATAATGTTACTATTAGTAGTAGTGTTATAATAATAATATTGTTAATTATTGTTGTTGTACTTAGGGATGGGTCACGATTTTCGATTCGTTGATTTAATTATAGAATATCTAATAGGTTGTGCGATTGTCTAAAAAGAATTACCCATGTTTTCGTGCTGATGCAGTGGTGACATTCATTTATAAAAAAAAAAAAAAACAATCTCTATATCCATTAAATCCGCTCTAAATCCGTTAACATGGGCGCGGAAAAGAATACGCTCCGCATACATATTGTGCAAATGGAGTTGGTGTGTTCTCTGCAGCTGGACTAATTGTGAACGGATTGTGCTCCTGTCTTCATCCCGAACGAATTAATGAAACAAAAATTTGTTATAAAGACAGACGTTAAAATTAATGTTCACATAAGTGCCATCATTCAGGCTGTTCACAATATGTTTTAACCCATTTAGACCTAGCCTAAAGTCATTATGGCTTGAGGTGATATTCATGGATGAATTAATCAAACTGTTTTTATTTTTGATTGGTATGAATGTTTATGCTCATTTTTGAAGTGGAAATGCCCTAGCCTTATGAGCAGTTGATTTATGCTACTTATTTCAGCACTTTACAATCATTATATGGCTTGAGTTAAGAGCCTATTCCCTAATGAAAACTGTTTGTTATCATACAGATTGAAAGCATGAATGGTCTCTCTCCCTCTCTCCAGGGGCGGATCTAGAAAATAATTTTTAGGGTGGCATGGGGTCTATTGACACTTTTCCACTGCGTGGTACGGCTCAGCACGGTTTGCGTTTCCACTGCAGTTCAGTACCGCTTTAGAGTGGGC